GGAGCCTCGCAGGGCGCAGGCCTTCCCAATCCTTTGGGGATTTCCTGCAGTCTGCAATGTTAGAGGAGACCTTGAAGTCGCCCACGCGGCCACATGTCCACATACCATACAGAGCCTTGGTGCCTTTCCCCAGGTGCGCACAGACCGTCTCTCTACCCCAGGCCTACCGGCTGCAGCTGCTTCCACACTGGGACCCTCCACCTCCTCCAGTCCTTGGCCATGGGTGAGGGGAGGAAGCTCCTGGCCTCCCCGGCTCTTGGTAAGGAAATGAAGATAAACTTGCTGGGGCAAGAGTTTGCTGGGGTAAGAGTCCGTCCTCTCAGGCCACAGGGAGCCCACTCCAGGCCCCTCACCAGAGCCGTGCCACCAGACAAACCAGGGTGCCCTCATCCAGCCGGGCACCTAGAGCACATGACTGCATGCAGACGAAGGCTCACGCCCCAGTCTGCCACTCACCGGTGACCTTGGACATGTAGCCTGGTCTCATGGACCCTCTGTGGGGTCAGCTGCTAAAAAGGAGCTACTATCTCATGTTCACTCGTCTTTTGAGGAGTCCATGAAATATATAACCTCAATAACATGTCTGTCCTCTTGCCCAGTCGCTGTACCACGTGCTATATCCACCATAAAAACCCAGGCAGCGGCCACACTAGTTTCTTAGGGCTGCCATAAATACTCAATGGCTTAAAGCACCGATTTTTCATTCTTCAGTTAGGGGGGTCTGACGTCCAAAATCCGTTTCACTAGACTAAAACCGAGGCCTGCGCTCTTTACGTAGGCTCCACAGTAGACACCCCACTGTGTTTTTCCTAGCTTCTGTAGGCTGACTGCAATCCACATCACACAGCATTTAGCCCCCTCTGTCACCCTCAAGGATACCCCTTACTATACCTCTGCTCTGACTCTGACCCTCCTGCACCCCCATGCTACGACACTTGGCCAGGACCCACCCAGAGGACCCAGGACCATCTGCTATCTCAAGATCATGAGTCCACGCACATCTGCTAGGTCCCAGGTAACATAGTCATAGGTTCTGGGGATGAGGGGAGGGGCATCTGACACACCAATGTTTGGAAGCAGATGGACTCCAACACCATCCCTTGCTCTCACCTTAGAGCCAACGCTTTGTTCTACGGAGGCTACAACCTGGGTCTTCAACTAACCCAAAGGTCTCTGTGGTAAAGACTTCCTCCCCAGAGTGGCACTTTAGGGAGGTGTCAGGCCTAATGGGAACTCTTTAGATAGCTGAAATGTGCCCTTGAAGGAGACCATGGAATCCATCTCACACTGTCACTTCCTGCCCATGCTGAGAGAGGTTTTGCTCCAGCACAACATGTTCCCCACCATGGCCATGACGTACTACCTTGCCATAGGGCCAGAGCAACAGAGCCACCTACTCATTCATGGCCTGGAACCTCCAAATTGAGCAAAAGCAGATCCATCTTCCCTAGCCCAGGTATCTGTTACAGTGAGGAAAAGCCACCACCATCATGCACAACTTAGAAAGCCAGGATGGTGGGAGATGGGAAATGTTCCCAGCTTACCTGTGGAGCGCACCACTGAGGGCTCTGGTGACTTCTCCAGGAAGGGTTGCCCGTCTTTGGCTGCTGAGCCTATCCCTGAGCACCAGTGATGGGCACATCAGCCATCTGGAAATATTTCCCACAAAGCATTATGAAACTGCCAGGCATTTCCACTGCCTTTTCCTGGCAAAGGGATCCGCGGGCAAACTGTTCGGGTCCCGTGACCCCAGTACCACAGTCCTTGCTACTGATAAAAGGGGCTAGCCTCACAAACCACAAAGTGCCCAGAGGGCTCAGGACCCGGTGGTGCTGCCCTTAGCACCCTCTCCGAGCACGTCTACGTCTCCGCCACTGTGCAACTCTGAAGAGGCCTGGAGCTCAGCCCTCTCCGCCCCTCTCCATTCCTCTGCCTGCTATCCTGTCAGCTGCTGTATACCTCACGTGCTCCCGAAAGCGATTTTTCATGTTCTAGACGATCCTTACGTAGAATGTTGAATCTACACACACATGGCCTTTCATGTGTTTTCCCACCAGTGGTTCAGGAGCAAACACAAAAGCTTTCTTCCCTGGGACTGACACTTACTTCAGCAAAGCCTTGCTCACAGACCTGTTCCTCCCTTGACACCATCTCCCGCTCAGACCAGGGACCTGACTTAGTTTCTTTTCCCGGTGCTGCGATAAAGATATTCTGACGAAAGCAACTTTACGGTTCCAGGGAGGTGCGATCCACCATGGTGAAGAAGGCATGGCAGGCAGCTGGGAAGGCATGGTGGCAGCAGAGGCAGGAGACTGGCTGGTCACACTACATCCACACTCAGCAAGCATGGAGGGAGCAGGACGTAGCCAGGCTATAAAGCCTCGGGGCCCACCTCCAGTGACTCACTTCCTCTGGCAAGGTTCCACCTCCTAAAGGTCCCACAACCTTGTCAAACAGCGCCACCGGCTGGGGACTAAGTGTCCAAACACACGTGCCTGTGGGGGACAGTTGTCATTTAGGCCACTACAGGATCTGACTTCTCAGTTCACCCTGCTATCCCAATATACTCCCCAGAAAGGGGAACAAGCCCTCTCTACATGGCTGTCCCAGACTCCTACCCAAAAGTGAATTCAAGGCTAACGAAACTGAGGGTGTGGTTCAGTGCTGAATTGTGGGCTCTTTAAGCAGGAGGCCAGGGGTTGAAGTGTCACAAAATAAACAAAAAGTTACTTTGTATCCTAAAATTGTTATAAAAGATACAGTTCAAAGGAAGCTCAATTATATCCATGTAACTATCCATGTACCAGTCTATGGAGCTAACAAACCAGCCTGAAATAAAAATGTTCACTCTTGGGCTGGAGAGACCGCTCCATAGTCAAAAAATGAGTACTGCTCTTACAGAGACCTGAGTTTGGTTTCCCAGCACCCAAGTGTGGTGGCTCACAATCACCTTTAACTCTAGCTCCATGGGATCAGACATATTCTGGCCTTCTCAGGTGCCCATATCACACACACATGCTCTCCCATAGACATATAATTAAACTTTTTAAATCTTAAAATAAAAAAATGTTCACCCAGCATAACTCCACCTATTTCTAAAGAGACCAACAGCATATGATTTGGAAAGTGTGACAAAAATCCAATATAGTCACAATGGAATACACTAGACATCTGTGAAGCTATCCAAGGTTCCTAGAGGGCTGGGTGTGATGCTGTTTGTACGAGGAACTAGTGTTCCCGTTTAATTCTCACAGTGAACTCTAATTATGCAGACCATGGAATTATCCCGACTCACGTGAGATAACATCTTCAATTTTCTACTTGGTAAAGGCGTGCAAATCATGAAGAAAACATTCTTAATTAACTTCTGGAAAGAACATTACACTTCTTACAGGGCTTCAAGTGGGCACATTCTGGGTGACTCTGATAGGATCTCACTGGCTCACAAGCTTTGAGCAGATCATTCCCCTGGCAGCCTGTTCTAGTCCAGCCAATATTCTAGAGAGGATGCTTACAGTGCTGTTTTGCTGATATGATTTTTGTCATTTCAGCTGTTTTTCCCCAAAGGAGTCTTAAGGAACACGGGCAGTTCCAGGGAAAAGCCAGACGCAGCAGTGATGGAAAAGCAACTCAGTCCACAGCTAGTGTGACGGCAGGGGACGACCACAGCAGACTGATGTGACCACAGCCTGGCATTCATGCTCAGGCAGGAAGGTCGTCTGTTAATGGTACTCTTCCCAGAGGACACGGCTGCCAGCACAGGCAGGATCCTGAGCACAGCCTTCCTCCTGGGCTCCTTCTCTACCTCCTGAACAAAAGGCTTCTAAGGGGTTTTAAGCCATGTGAGGAATCCATGCAGGCTCAGCTGCATGCTCAAAAGACAGGAACGTGCAATTAATGCAGTTAAAACCTTCACCAACTAACAAGTCTTTTCTTCTCCCTAAAGCCTTGAGATTAGTCACTGTTGAGGGTTGTCCCTAGTGAGATGGGGAGGGGACAGCCTTGGTCTGTAGCTCTCTTTCCCTTCTTGGGGAATCCCAAACCCTGGGAGCCCAGCAGACCCTGCCTGCAGGGAGGCCCATCCACACTTTGACCCTACCTCAGGAAGAGAGCGGAGCTAAAGAAGACTAAATACACAAAGCCCTAGACCAGCTTTTGGGAGGCCAATATTCATTCTCCGTGCCCTGTTCATGGGAAAAGGCAGCTTTCCTCCTGTTTCTGTGACTTCTAGGCAATGCCATCTGGCTCCTGGAGACTGAACGTGGCTTCCGGCAGAGCCAGACACACTGGGAGAGAAGTGCTTCCTTCCCACGGGTGGGGGTGGGGAGTCGGGTCTTCCATACCAGCCTCTGGATGGATCAGCCCTAGAGAAGTCCCACCAAGACACTATACTAGAAGACGGACACGGTTCCAATTAATTCCTCTTAGAACCCCTTTCATGAGAAAGAAAATGCTTCGGAAGCCAACTGATGCCTGCTTCCCATTAGCTATTGGCACAGGCTCCAAGGGTGGGCAAGGGTTCCCCTCTCAGGTCCACATCCCTCTGGCACAGCGTCACTTCCGGCTCAAGGGCACACACACTGTACCTGCACTCCCCAGTAACCTGAAGAACTGCAGAGCAGCCTAGTGGTGAATGCGAGTCACTTTTAATGAATTACTCAACATAAGAGGACACAGGTAAGATCTGGGGCTGTTCCTCCGTTGATAAAGTGTTTCGTCTAACATGTACATTGCCCTGGATTCCATTCTCAGCACTATGGTGGCAGAGGGTGTAGGCAAGAAGATCTCAAGTTCAAGTTTACCCCTTGGCTATGTAATGAGTTCAATGCCAGCCTGGGCTGTATAGAAAGACAGACAGAAAAGGAAGAGTGAGAAGCAGAGGACAGGAGAGAGAGAAGGGGGGAAAAAGGAAAGAAGAAAAGACAAAGACTAGGTGGCTGGTCCTCCACATCCTACATACAGATCTATACTTACTGGGTTCATGACTCACACACACATGGTCTGTGTTGGCAATTTATTTAAAAAACAACAACACTCCAGCCATCACATTTTCTTCTCTGTTCATTATTTTTCCCTTCTAGAAGAAGTTACAAAAACATCAGGGGGGTTTGCCATCTTTATAACCCAACCCGCGTACAAGAGTCAGGAATGACCCCGGAACCAGGCAGAGAGTAAAAGACGATATAATCAGCAACGCCAGATTACAACGCTGATTTACAGAGCAGTGGTTGGAAGGAAGTTCACCCTGGGGTAATCTGAGCCAAAAACCAAGGAAAAGCACCAGCCTGCTTGCAAGCCAGGAGGCCAAGTGCAAGCGCTCAGCAACAGCACATGACTCGGTAAGGCTTTTCTGGCAGCAAATGTGATGGAGAGGGCACTCTGCTCGGCAAGGACTGGAGCCCTCACTTCGAGTCTTGGTTCTTCTCATCTATCAGAGCAGAGCGGATCCCCAGCTTTTTCAGTTCCTCCACCAGGTCTCCATTCTGGTGCATCTGCAGAAGGATGTCACAGCCCCCCACAAACTCGCCATTGAGGTACACTTGCGGGATGGTAGGCCAGTTGGAATAGTCTTTAATACCTGTGGAGAGATGGGAGATGAAGCCATCAGAAGGGAGAGAATCTTCTTCCACCACAAACGCCATAACCCCACTCCTAACAGAAATCCAGGCCTCTCCCTGGTGCCCCACCCCCTCCTGGACAGCAATGAGTTTCAGAGCCAAATGGACAGCACATCACTTGAGGAGTCACATGATCCTCAGCTTCTCTGTCAACCTTCAGCCCTGAGGTTTTCATGAGAATCAGGTAAGGCTCTCGTTAAAACACTGACACATCAGCCAGGGAACGGACGTCTAACCAAGGCACGTGGGACCGGCAAAGCTATAATTATCCACACAGGTCATGTTCTCAGGAAAAGAACTGTCATGGCTTCATTCCCAAATGTAATGTGAAATGTGGATCTACCTGAACTCACTGGCTGATTGGGCGACCCCACCTCTGCCTTCTTCCCGCAGCTGAGTGGTGAGGGCCACTGTGACCAGCATCAAGATGCTGAGAGGATGTTCCCTTTGAAGGTTACCAAGGGGCACAGAAAACCCCCTATGGTTGCAACTCCTAAGCCCCATGTTCTCAGCTCCCTGATAGGGTCCACAGAACCCGGTGACAGACACAGGTACATAGCCCATGTGATTAGCGGCTAGTATTAGATGTCATAGAAATGTTTTGAAGGGCTAGGAATGTAGCTCAGTAGGAGAGCATCTGGCCCCATGACTGTGAGCCCCTATGTTCAATTCAGCAACAAATTAACAAAGACATAAATACTATTGCCAGTGTTTTGAAATGGCCAAAATAAGCATACAAACACACAGAGTAAGTGAGCAGGTGCTTCCAAAAAATACAATAGTACACACATCTAAAAACCAGTTGCACGGTGGGCTTTTTATGTAGACAAACCTGTTCTTACTACCGTATCATTCAATATTTGTTTTCCAAATAAAATTACCAATTTGAGTTACACCACAACGGTCTAAGAAAACAACATACTTTCCTTTTAAACCTTACTGTCTTTCTCTAAACAGTCCTGGGTTTGCTGTAAATAACAGAGCTGGAGGGAGCCCGAGTCACAGCTTTTATCTTGCTTCTCCAGACAGCAAACCCTGAGAAATGATCACAGGCTGGGTGTGGTGGCCCACACTTGTAAAGCCGGCATTCAGCTACGGCTGGCCTGGACTTCACGGAGGGGCCCTCTCAAGAAGAATGGGAGAAGGCTACAGTAGAGAGTAAGTCCTACCAGCCTTCACAATATCAATTATCTAGGCACACTAAACTACCTGCTGAATCCAAGGCTTTCATCATATTGATGTGGGGTGCTATAGACCCCTAAACAACGACTCAGTACATGGGTCATGTGAATTTGGTTTCTGTTTGCATTTTAAACTTGACCCTTAAGTACTAACAGCCTATAGATCAGTTGCAAATCTTTACCTTTATGACCGAGGGTGGGGTGTAGGGACAAAGAACCATTTAGACACAAGCTCCCTCTCAGTCTCCAGAACTGGACCACTCCTGTCCCTGTATTTCACAGCTCTGCTTTCCTCCACAGGAAACCTACTTGTTACTTTTGCCTAGGGCCCCCTGCTTGAAACATATCAAATGGAATACACTTGCTGCCTGAGGACCACCCCAAACCACACTCAACTCTAAACAGTGCCGTTGTTTTTAGTAAAACCCTTTGCTGAGAAAAGAATGAATGGTTTCCATCCTCATCACTATTTATTTCCTAAGGAGGCAGAGCTTGCTTTGGCTCACAGTGCCCTCTGATACAGTCCATCGGGGCAGGGACGCCGTGGTGGGAGAGGCAGGAGGCTGGTTCTAGCACCTCACCCCATCCAAGCCCTCACTTCATTCACCTCACATGTGAGGCTCTCTCTGCTGCTGAGGACTGTGGGCCTGGAGTCCTCCACCAGAATGCCTATCACCTAGCTGCCAACAAGTGGCTCTCAGGCCAGACACTGTCCCACTGCCCCCTCTGCCCAGTCTTGCTTCATGGCTGACATTTCAGGAACTTTGCCTCAAGGGCAAATGGCAGCACCTTGGCAGTACTCAGAGGACTGATGGGTCATTGGGATTATTTGATGTTGTTGTTGCTTGCTGGTAGGTTTCTGTCTTGGTTTTGTTTTAGCCCAATCTGGCCTGGAACTCCATATGTGGCCCAAGCTAGCCTCGAACTTGTAGTTACTCCTGCCTTAGCCTTCAGAGCGCTGTATTTGCAGGTGTGAGCCACAAGCCTGGCTTTTATGAGCTTCAGTAGCTCAGGTGGTGTCTGATTCTTCTTATTGGTAAAGTGGGAAACTTCTAGTAATAAAGACCACTGTCTATAGCTAAAACACGGAAATGAACCATAAGGACTGTTTCAATATGGCTTATTTCCTTCCCACTTAGTTTTCAGAAACTGCAATATTGGTGACATTCAGGTGGGAACTCCTGGAAACTAGAGAATCAGACCAAGAACAGGTTTTAGTGCTAATCACATCTACGACAGTGATCAAACTCAGGAGCGAGTGCTGACCGGAAGTCACCCTAACCAGAGACACTAGCATGGGAGCTGAGAAGCTGAGGGACTCGGGCCACATACCACTGCTTCATCAAAAGCAGAAAACCAAGCCATCGAGACTCCCAGGCTGGGGAGACGGCTCGGTTCCCGAAGCGCTCGCCCTGCAAGCAGGAGGACTTGAGTTCGAGCCCCCGGGACCCACGTAAAAGAGCTGGGCACCACAGCACGTGCGGTAATCTCCCAGCTCTGGAGGCAGAGGCAGAGGGCCACTGCTCAGCCAGGCTGGCTCCGCGTTCAGTAAGAGACCCTGCCTCAGACACCTGACATAGACCTCTGGTGTCCACGTCCTTGGGTACTTGCACCCACACATTTGCCGCCCCTCAACATTGCAGCTTATCAAGCCAGGAAAAATAAAATCAGACAAAATATATGTAAAAACTCCCCTGCCCTGTCCACTTTCAAAGGGTGCTTTCCACACTGAAGCACTTGGCCTTGCCTGGTTTTCCCGGTCCCTGATAAAGTTCACAGTAGGACTTCAGGTGGGGACTAACTCCAGAGTCACATCCCAGGCTCTGTGATGTTGGGCTAGGTGTGTCACATCCCAGGGTTACATTTCCTCCATTTCTCCCTCCTCGGAGACTGGGGGATCTCTGAATGGAAACTGCAGAGCCTCAGGAGAGGAGAGCAAAGGCTGGGGACAGCAGACAAGGCTAAGGCACACGTGTCAGCAGAGTGGGCTCACTGGCCTCTAAGAACACCCCCCAACCCCTGGCCTCTAGGTACAGCCCCCCGGAACAACCTCTTGGAACAACCGCCCCAGCCAGGAACAGCCCCCCTGGCCTCTAGGAACAGCCCCCCCTGGCCTCCAGGAACAGCCTCCTTGGTCTCTAGGAACAGCGCCCCCCCTCTAGGAACAGCGCCCCCCTTTAGGAACAGCTCCCCTGGCCTCTAGGAACAGCCCCCTGGCCTCTAGGAACAGCCCCCCTGGCCTCTAGGAACAGCCCCCCTGGCCTCTAGGAACAGCCCCCCTGGCCTCTAGGAACAGCCCCACACCCTGCACCCTCAGCTGCAAAGTGGAGCCCCACTGCCTTGCAGATTCACTGAGAAGATCAAACAGTATGTAATTGGTGAAATGACTTACTTCCTGGCACTGTGGATGTACTTATGCCACCACCACCAACCTCCCATCCAGGGTCTTCCGCTCTATTTGTCACAGAAGTGCTCTTCTGAGCAACACAGTAAACAGAAAGCATGGGGAAAGAACACAGGAATAATACAGTTCCACACAGCAATAAGAAGCATTTGTGGGGCTGGAAAGATGGCTCAGAGGTTAAGAGCACTGACTGCTCTTCCAGAGGTCCTGAGTTCAATTCCCAGCAACCACATGGTGGCTCACGACCATCTGTAATGAGATCTGGTGCCCTCTTCCGGCCTGCTGTCATACATGCTGTATACATAATAAATAAATAAAATCTTTAAAAAAGAAAAGAAAGTAGCATTTGCAGAGCTCAGGGTTACAGTGCTTCATGCTCCCTAAGTATTTTCCACAGATAATCCTATTTAACCACTGCAGATGTATGATATAATTATCCCTGCCTGACGGATGACGGTAGGATGACGTTAAGGTTCCGAGTGGCTAAGAACTCACCCAAAGTCATAGAGATAGCATGTGGTGGATGCAGGACAACATCAAGGTTTCTAAAGTCTAAAGTCAGCCTCTCAAGCCATGGGCCCTCCCCACGGCTTGTCCTGCCCACAGCTGCTTCTTCATTGCGCACGCGTGTAGAGCACGTGGGACCGAGCACGTGGGACCGAATTACACCTTGGCATCAGTATACACACAGTATTGTGACATCAGTACTCCTTGTCACTTACTTTTGACCAAATGTGTTTGATATTTAGCCATGTCATTACACCAGGATCTAGTTGGTTTCAAGCTCAGTATAGTTTTGCCCTACAGCACTGAACTTCCATCTGCTAATCCTGTCTGCTAAGAGACCAAGATCCCATCTTGTGGGTTCGTCCCCACCACAGCCATGTTGTCACGAACACCTTACACACGTATTCTGTCCTGCATGGGCCCCTCTAGACCTGGGGGTGGCAAGCTGGCTTCAAGCTAAACTTCTTCCTGAGTTTGCAAATAAAGTTTTATTGAATTCAGCTTGCTCACTGATTATACAACATCCAAGTCTACTTGCAGCCTCCAACAACAGAGCAGCAAGTGAAATGGGGACTCAGGAGCCCACAGACCTCCTGGCCCTTCACAGAGCAAGTCTGTCTCCACTCCGGGCTCTGGGAGCAGGGAAACAGCTCTGCTCATCTCCAATACACTGACTGCTACAATTCCAAAGTGCTGGTACCAGATACCCACAGCACACGGCTTGGCCCACAGAAGGGCACACACACAACCGAGTATCCAACCTCCAATATTCGCCAGAGTAATTAGTGCCCAACTATTGCCTTGAATGCTGGGACACTGCTTCATAAGCTCTTCCAGGCTGCGGGGAAGAAGCCTGGGAGAAGGGTGCGGAGGAAAAGAAAGCTCACAGTGAGCCTCAAAGAAGAGCTTCTAATATACACGACAGCCAGTGAGAAAACTATGGGAGACGACAGCCTGCAGGGAGGACTCCAAATGCCCCAGCACCAAGACATTGCCATGTCCAAAGTGATAGCTAGGCCAGCTACTCTGATGGTGTTATGTAATGTACACACATATGGCAATGTCACACAGGCTTATGCGGCAACAAGTTTACAAGTCATAAGGACAAGAAAAAATAGTCTAAGAGTTATGCATTCATCACCATTCAACCTCCCACTCTGGCAGGCACTGCTCCTGATGCAAGAGCACATGGGAATGGATGCAGGACTGCCAGAGCACTCACAGAGGAGTCGGATGTGACTGTAACACCAGTCTCTCCTTAGCCGTAACAACAGTCACAGAAAGCCTGCCCGGCTCAAGTGGCATTCCCAGCACCAAAGAATACCGCACCTGCCCTCCCACAGGTGAAATGCCGTGTGCAGACAGGCCGGATCTCACAAGGTCAGCAGCGGGAAGCCCAAGGAACCATGAGGCTGCACTGTCCCTGAGTTCCTCAAGAGCCCTGTGGCTGTGTACCCCAGGTAATACAAGTGAGGTCCAGAAGGCCTCTGCACCACACTTCCTGGACCCTGGGTGAGAGCCAGGGCCCTTTGTAAAATTCTGGCACATGGGTAAAGGAAGGGCCGATGCTATGGAAGCCCCACGCTGCAGCAGGACAGGAGGAGGGCCCCCCCTTGCCTGGCAAAGTGAGAATGAGCTGCTTGCCTGCCTGCCTGCCCCTTGGCAAACGCAGGGCGTAGACAATGATTTGAAGAGTCTCCACACCGCAAAGGCCTAACCTGGCTAACAAAGGCCGCACTGGGGGAGCACACTCACATCACCCTGCCCAGTCCAATGGCAGCCCTTCTCTAAGCCACAGGAGACACATGTTTAATTATTTGGATAGCACACTTATTAACCAAGTTAACAAGTCAATGAAATCAACAGTCAAGAAACGTAAGGGTTGTGGCTGGGCATGATAGCTCACACCTGTAATTCCAGCACTTGAAGGCAGCAGGACCAATTTGAGTTCTGGGGCAGCCTGATCTATACAGTGAGTTCTAGGTCAGCTTGACTAGCCTGTCTCAATAATAATAATAATAATAATAATAATAATAATAATAATAATAATGGAAGGGTTAAATTCTTCTCTCATTTGAGTACCTAATGACACAGATTAGAGGCCAGACGTGTGAGATGGAAGACAGCAAACCTCCTCGCTTTTAAAAAGTACTCATATTAGTTGTATTCCATTATAGCTTGCCCGCAGTTACACTTCACAGAGGAACATAAAATCTAAACCAAAGAAAGATCCCCACAATGCAACTGTCTGCTAAGAGTGCTTGCAGGGCAACTGTGGGCAGGTCCCAGTTCAGACTGCAGAGTAGGTGCTTATCTTCCCCAGCAAGGAGCCACCTCTGACCCAAAACTGCAGCTTGCCCTGAGCTAGATAACCCTGGAGCCTAGCAAACAGCCAGTGTTAGCTGAGGAGGAAAGCACGGGGTTCTGAGCACAATGCATGGCTCGCCACCATTCCTGAGAGCACTTGCCTTGATGCTTCTGCTCTACCCTAGAGCTCGGCCCCGCAGAACGGTCAGAGAGCAAATGTAGGGTCAGCTACTTTAGACAACACGGAGAAAAGTTCCAGTTTAATTATAAAGTAGCTGCCATTTAGTGGGCGCCTTCTGCGCCAGATAGGATGATATTCTGTGCAGAGTATAAAGGGATGGGGGGAGTTCCCACAATGCAGTGCAGTCTGGCCTTGAACTGGTGATCCTCCTGCCTCAGCCTCCAGAGTGCTGGGATGACAGACGCTGATTTACTATGTCCAGCTACAATTTTCAGTTTCTCGATTCCTTATGGACTCGGCCAGTGTCAGAATCTGCACTTTACTGAAAGTGAAATGCAGTTAGGCCACAGAAGATTCTAAGCCAAATCTGCTCTCCCCCGCCCCATCCTGTCTCGTCAAGGAGAAGGACCATAGGAAGAATGACTATAGTCAGTAATTTCAAATGTCGAACGCTCCATGTTAACACGGAGAGGTCTCCTTTCAGCGGAGCGGTCAAACCAGAGCACTGGGTCGGGAAGGTGGGGTGGGGGTGGGGGAGCTACTCAGTCCCGGGAAGTGGAGTGCAGGTCCCCCGACCCCAATTCCACTGCAGAAGGAGCGGGCTCCACCTACCTTGACCAGTTCTTGCCAAGGATCAGGCCCAAGTGCCTGGCCTTTCTCCTCCCCACTCAGAGCAAGCAGAAAGCTGAGTAAGGTGCCTGGGAGTTTGCATAAAGGATGTCAACTAGCCATCAGAACCCAGTTTCTCTGCCTCGGGGCCGGTGAAAAGCCACAGGTCTGGCTGTTCGGTCCTCTGACCCTTGGGCCCTTACCTCGAGGCAGTTTGTTAATCTGGTGGGGGTCAGGAGTCGTGTCTTCCTCTTCCCGCTGAACCTCTTCCAAGCCCCAGCCCTCATACACTGCCCTTCTGTGCTACGGGATCTAAAAACCAAAGTTCGTGTCTTTCCCCAAAAATCAGATCCCAACGTGAGTCCAGCTGGACTATGGTGCAACCCTCTCTGCAGCAAGAAGACAGTCCCTGACACCCGGAGCCTTAAACACTAGAGGCTAGCCTTTGCCCTCATTAGGCGGCACACACGGGCAAGCCTGCAACCTCCTCCCTACATTACGCAGTACCAGTCTCTCACCTAGCAAGTAGGCCGCTGGCTTCCAAGACCCTCAGACTGCCCCCACTGTGTCAACAAGTCGCGGGTACTCGCTGCGCGTCCCCCTCAGCAAGCTACCCCCCAGCTGACCCGGTGAGGGGTCATGCTACGGACCACCTTCCTCCGACGCAGCCAGAGACAGCTCGCCCCGAGGTGAGGCGAGGCGAACCCCCAGCCCAAGTGGCTACACGACCACGGCCCCTGCTCCTCGGGATCAGCTCAAGTTCACCGCGCCCTCGCCGCCGGATCCCTCGGGCCTGACCTTGCCGCAGCTCCGGGTCGTCCAGCACGTTGTAGGCCGCGTAGTCTCGGACGCCGTGCAGTCGCAGGATCTGCACCACGGCGTTGCTGAAGCCGCACTGGGGCTGCTCGGGCGTCCCCTTGAGGAACACCACCACCTTGTCCTTCTTCACCAGCGCGTCCAGCTGCTCCGCCTGGCCGCCCGTGCTCGCCGCCCGCACGCCGATCCCTGGCAGGCCCCCGCCGACCGCACCGCGCCCCCAGCGCAGCAGAGCCGCCGCCGCCCGGCTCAGGGACGCGCTCATACCCGCTCGCTGCCCACCACCTCTGCGGCCAACCCGGGGCTTACCGTGGCCGTGGCGCCGGGCCCGCCCACCGGAGGCTCTCATTGGGCAGGCTCCGAGCTGAGTCTCTGTGATTGGACAATACTGGCTCAACTCCACCAATAACATCTCCCACACCGTGACGGTGGGCCGTCCCTGGAAGGCGCGTCCTACAGGCTTGCTGGTGAGCGTAGACGACCGCTTTGCGTGTTGATTGGACAAACTGAACGTCCATCAGGGTCACGCAGCAGGGCAATGAGAGGCGCGACGACAGGAAGACGACTTTCCTCTGAGGGCAATCGAAGCCTGCAGGGATACTCCAGGATGACAGGATCGGCGCTGGGCGGGGCTTCTGCCGCCCGCGGCACGCCGGGAAGGAGTCTCTTCCCGACGCAGGTTCCGGTTCCGTTGGCGGCGGCTGATTGCTACGGTAACGCGGCGGGTAGTCTTGCTCTAGCGAGGACCAGAGAATTAAGTGGTGGGTGAGCAGCTGAGGTGAGCCGCGAACCGGGCGTGTCCAGCCCTGCCCGGGGCTGCAGCCTCGAACTCGGCCTCATGTCCGGGCCTGCCTGGGGCTCCGGCCTCGGACCCGTCGCGCACGTGGACGGCCAAGCCGGGTCCTGCCTCGCGTGGGATTCCTTCTCTAGAATTTTTAGCATGAAATAGAATTACGTGCATGTATGATGTGCGTGCATGCACCTGCCACAGCGTGGGAGTGGAAGTCAGACGACAATTCTGTGTAGTCAGGTCCCTCCTCCCGCCTTTTACAAAGGGTCCAGGGATAGAACTGGGCTTGCCGGGTAAGTGCTGTTACCTGCTAAGCCATCTCCCTGACCTCTAGAATGATGTTCTCATCTTAGGAACGTGTAAAGTGCCCGAGCTGTCGAACAGCTGGTTCTCTGGGCTCAAGGTGTCCACATGACCCCTTGTACCAACCAGGGTTAGGAAGGTTTATTGCACGTACTAGGAAATTGATGGTTGCTCCTGTGGCCTTTGTCTGCAAAGTGCCGACGCTCTGGCGCCTCAGAAAGGGGAGTTACAAGCCAGCCCAGGCCATAGAGCAAGACCCTTTTTAAAAACGGAAAACAGAAAGTGTGAGGCTATAGCTCAGCAGTAGATCGCTTTCCTAGTGTAAGCGACATCCTGAGTTCCACTCCCAGCACATGCACACGAATAATAACAAAAGAGAGTGTTCTGTCGGTGACTTCCCGAGCAGATGATGCTGGCCACTGGGTGGAGTTCTTGCACAGAATGTACAGGCACATCTGCTTATGTTACTGCAGAAGAATGAGAGGTACTTCTCAGAAGGCCCCAATTGTTTGCTCTGCTCACCACCTTATATATCGCTTGGCATGTACTTACCCCCTTAGATGAGCTCAGGACATAGTCGGTGCTCTTATTTGGTAGCACATGGATCCTGATTCTGGCCAGCAGGACTCGGTGGCGTGTTACCTGATCTGTAGTCTTGGACCTGCACTGGGTTGGTGGTACCCGAGAGCACACCAGACTTGCAGAAAAAGCATACTCCAGAGGAAGCTGAGGCATGCCTGCTCAAGAGCCAGCGGATCCATGTGCAATGTTCCTCTGATAGGCCCTGGGTACTGTTGCCACGGTGATGATGGCTCTGCCGTGCCATTGTCGATCCACCAACAGTCAGAGAAGCTTTGCAGTCAAGATATTGTTTAGCAGACGGAGTGGTTTCTGTTGGACACTTAAGGACTGCTACACAACTTCAAGTTACTAAGCATGTTGCCGGAGGCTACCTGTTTTCGTCTGGGGAGTAATGTGAAAGCAGAAAGTGCACACAAGTCATCAATGGAGTCTGCGAAATCATGGCTCAGCGGGAAACTGAGCCAAGTAAACTGTGAAGACAGATGGATGGGGACAGTGCCCAGCCTCTTCCTTGTCAGTCAGTGTTGTGGACGCTTGCTCTTTTTTCTAATGACAAGCCTGAAGTGAAAATCTTTTTATTTTGCAGACCCTTTGATCCCAGACACCATACAAAGACACACACAAGAAATACTGGAATGGAACCGCTGCTCTGAAAGTCAGTCTGTACCCTCAGCAGCAGAGAGTCTGTTGAATTGCCTCCAGAAACGGCAAGCTTTTTTATTCATGCTAGCATTGCCAAATGTAATTTTCCTTTTAAAAATAAAATAAATAAAGACTGGCAATTTGCTTGTGGGAAGCCATGCGTCTCGCCTACTCTGAACTGTCTGGGGGGCTTCTGTGCTTACTGGGTGAAGGGAAGGAATCTGCAGAGTGCTCTGAGCACCTGGTTGCAGAGCAGTAATGTCAAATAGTATGTTGCTCACTATTAGCTGTGACAAAAATCCCTGGCAAAAACAGCTCGGGGGAGTGAGGGTTTGTTTCGTCTCAGTTTGAGGGTGTAGACATCCGGCAGGAAAAACATGGCGGCAGGAGCTTGAGATGGCTGGTCACGTGACATCCATAGTCAGGAAACATGAATGCTGCTGCTCAGATCCAGTGCCCCATCCTAGAAGGTGGAGATACCCAAAGCCAAGGTGGGTCTTCCTCCCTACCTTAGCCTTTCTGGAAACATCCTCGAAGACACCACCAGAAGTGTGTTTTCATGATGTTTGCAAATCCAGTCAAGCTGACGATAAAGACTGAACCATCACACTGACCTAGTGTGCAGTTGGCTTAGGAAATTGTTTTTCCTTTAAGTTGTTAGATATCTACAACAGCTGTCACGCCATGTTAAAGTAAGCAAGTGGGAAGATGGCTGAGCCCGTTTTTTTCAAAAATGCAGCTCAGCTGGGGGGTAGTGGTGCATACCTTTGACTCCAGCACTCATGAGGCGTAGACAGGTGGATCTCTGAATCAAGGCCAGCTCACTCTACGTAGTGAGTTCCAGTCCAGCCAAGGCTACAGAATAAGACTGTCTTAAAGAGTGGTGTGTGTGTGTGTGTGTGTGTGTGTGTGTGTGTGTGTGTGTGTGTGATGTAACACTGGTTTTGCACTGTTGCTTTAGATAAAATGAAAGTGAAAAAATGCACTTCTAAAGCAGTTGTCAGAATTATGCTCTTAACACTTTGTATATGAGCTGTGGGTATGGATCCTTAGTGGGGAAGTGAGATGGAAGTTTACTTTGAAGAGCCCCAGGATTTAGGTTTATTAGACCCCAAAATACACCCTGGGAACACGTTGGCTCGGGCATCCTAACAGTCTCCTCCCCGCATACAGATGTGGCTTTGCTATAGTTGGTAAAACCCTGCTTAGCACCCACCTCCCCAAAGCACCATGAAGCCAGTGAAAACTGATGAATCTTCCTGTATCTCAGCCCCAAACCAGCCACATGGGGATTCCGGAGCTGAGTGGGCACTGTTCCCTTTCCATCTTTCACACCTAGTGCCCCCATCCTGTGTTCTTTACAGTAACCAGCTGTTATGGGGGGAGCTGGACTGGAGAGATGGCTCAGCGGTTAGAGCACAGACTGTTCTAGAGGTTCTAGAGTTCTGTTCCCAGCACCCACCCACATTGTTCCTCACAACCGTCTATAAATGTGATTCCAGGGACTCCGGCACCCTCTTCTGGTGTCTCTAGGCACTGCACACATGCACACGGATGTGCATGCGGGCAAAACGCTCAGACACATTAAACACAAACTTAGAAGGGGAGGGGGTCACAAGACCAGGTGATACAGGTGTGCCTGGCCCGGCTGCCCAGAGCTTTGAAGGTGCTGCCCTGGGAGAAAAGTGGCTGCTTGGGTTACAGGGGTGGAGCCACCAAACATCCCTACACCATCGATGGCTCTTGGGACCCAGAAACCCACAAGCTGAGCTGAACCCCGGCCCATCCCTGTGAGACACGTAACTCTATCATCCCATCACCTGAGAGCATCATTCTCCCCAAACCTCCCATTAACCTGATGTCCTGACAAAACCTAAAACTGTGGAAACCCAGGCAGAGCCTCCCCTGCCAGGGCATCTTCTCACCCCCAAAGTAGCTAGAAATGCCCTTTGGGTTTGGCTCCCTTTATTCTCAGCAAGGCATGTATTTTGGTTTAATTTTCATTACATGCTTTGAACAACTTTGCCATCAGAGCCTAGTCTGTCCTGAAACCTGAGATCCCCCTGCCTCAGCCTCCTGAGTGCTGGGATTACAGATGTGTTCTTGCCATATCCTGTAGTGGCTGCCTTTATAACTACTTCTCCGACTTTGGGGTTGGCCCATTACCTCCATCGGAACAGGACTCTGCCAGGCACACAGGGTTTCCTTGCCTGTCTGTACCCAGGTTACAGCAGAAGTGGAGATGGATGGTGTGCTACAATTTTGTAGGTCTCTCTAGAATAGACCATGAAGCTGGGCGTTATGAAGGGCCTGAGTGCTGTCCTGGGATTGGGAGTGTGGGGGTGTGGTCCTGGGTCCTAGTCCTACACATACTGAGTACTTGAGTTTTCATCCTTGAATTTTCCTACGCTGTTTTCTCTCCTTGTGTTTTTGGAGAATGTAGCTGTGACAACCACTGAAGGTTGTGTGTATTTCAAGCTTTGTCTGAGTGTTATGCAGTTGTAGGGTGATCTGCTGTGCCCCTCAGCTCCTGAACAGTTGCCTCAGTGTGATTTTGTCCTGTGTATATATTGTGGGGTTTGTCCTTCAAACAGCTTTTGTGTACACAGATCTGGTTGAATCTTGCTAAGGCTAGGATACAGATGTGGCAGGGTGTGCCCATCATCCAGCACCAGCACTCAGGACTGAAGCCAGAGGACTTGAAGTTGAAGCTGGCCCTTCAGAAAGAAAGGAGAGTGCAGGCAGTAGGATTTTGATACTTTCATATTCTATTTTTATATTCCTGCTGAATTATAACAACACCAGAAAGTCCTGCAGAATACTAAGTGATCTCTGCTGACTTGCAAGCTCATGCGTACAGTATTTATACTGCATTTCTACATAAGATTGCAATATTTACAGTTTATAACTTTGTGATGATAATTTTACACCAAAGACTAATGAACTAATGAAATCTTTTTGGTTTTTTAGACAGGGTCTCTGTAGCCCGGGTTAGCTTTGAGCTTGCAGTGACTTTGCTGTTTCTGCCTCCATGTGCCAGAAAGGTTATAGGTGTGTACTGTCATACCTCTAATGAAAAAATCGGAACCATGGTTTTTCACCTCTAAAAGTGTGCTCCTGCCCCTTTGTCCTCATGCTTCTTCTTATACCAAGGACGGAACTCGTTGGCTAGTGCCTTTATTTTATGTATAGATTTATTTATTGAGACAGGGTTTCACACTGACCTTGAGCTCACACAGTCTTCCTGTCCCAGCCTCCTAAGTGCTGGAGTTACAGGTTGTGAACCGCAGCCAGCCAATATGTCTTTAACGTTGTACTGTCGGACTTCGTTTTATTGAGAAACTTCCTGTACACCAAGTCTAAAAGAAAACACAGGAAAGGTTTCCTGTAAAGTTGAATTAAGAGTTAAATGGTGGGCTGGCAAGCTGGCTCAGTGGGTAAAAGGGCCTGCGACCAAGCTTGATGACCTGAGTTCAATCACCAGGTCCCACATACATGGTGGAGGAAGTGAATTGACTCCCCCAGTTTTCTTCTTTTCCCCTGTGGCCTGTTTAATGTGCAGTGCTATTTGTTGTTTGGGGTTTGCTTTGGCTTTTTTTTGGGGGGGGGGTTCGAGACAGGGTTTCTCTATGTAGCTTTGCGCCTTTCCTGGAACTCACTTGGTAGCCCAGGCTGGCCTCGAACTCACAGAGATCTGCCTGGCTCTGCCTCCCGAGTGCTGGGATTAAAG